TTTCATTTTTCAGTGATAAGTCATTGTGGGAGCTTTCTTTTCTTTGAAATTTGTTGACACTGGTGTACTAGGATTTTTCAAAATCTCAATAAATGTGACATGGCACTATGGTTTTTCTTTATTATTGTACTTTTTCTTTCTTTTTTTTTTGAGGAAAATCAGCCATGAGCTAACATCCATGCCAATCCTCCTCTTTTTGCTGAGGAAGACTGGCCCTGAGCTAACATCTATTGCCAATCCTCCTCCTTCCCCCCCGCCCTTTTTCTCCCCAAAGCCCCAGTAGATAGTTGTATGTCATAGTTGCACATCCTTCTAGCTGCTGTATGTGGGACGCGGCCTCAGCATGGCCGGACAAACAGTGCGTCGGTATGCGGCCGTGATCCGAACCCGGGCTGCGAGTAGCAGAGCACGCGCGCTTAACCACTAAGCCACGGGGCTGGCTCCATTATTGTACTTTTAACAATGGTCTTTAAAAGGTGGTTTTCCTTTGTTTTGCCATTTAATAGACTAATATTCTACAGCCAAAATATATGACTAAAAGAATATATCAGTATCTAGGAATTATTTCCCAAGGTCCTCAGATGTGAAAATGATGGGCTAGGTGTTCCAGAAGATCAGTTTTACAATAGGGAATTTTATATTGTTTAGCTTCTTGAGATGTTGCCAAATCCATCCATTTCATTCATATATGATTCTCTGTACAGTTCTTTCCATCATCAAGGGTATAAAAAGGGTAACACAATTAGAAAGACAGTAAACACAAGAATTTACAATAATACCATAAGATGTAAAGGTATCCTGAGTTCTAGTCCCTGTTTTGTAGAGAATTATCCATGAATTTCTGAGTAAGCCACTTCACCTGCCTGGGCACCTATTTCTAACCTGGAAAATGAGAGAATTGAGTTTTATTACTTACGCTGTCCCTTCCACACATAGGATAGGAGGTCACTTCCTAAACAGTGACACATTGACAATTAGTCCCTTCAGATGCCTAAGGGGGAAAAATACTCAATGGCCAAATAATGTTGCATGTGTTATCACCAACTTGAAGTTTTATATAAAAAGCACATTAGAATGTTAAAGGAACTGAGATGTCCTACAATAAAGGAATCTCTGTAACCATCACTCCCCAACTCATTTAACCACGGAATCCTCTATTCATTTATTGCCAGCTAACATCCTGTAACACTAGTGTTCCTCAAAATATACTTTGGGAAATGATGAAAGGGAATGTCAACTGATGTTTCTATAATACCTATAATACCTATACAATTCTCTCATGTATTATGAAGTAGAAAATAAATGTCCATTACCGGATGGATTTAAATGAACATGATGCTGTTATACACTAACCCCATTCTTATTCTAATCTCCAGAGAGAGTTCTAGAATGAAGCAAGGATGAAATAAAAGACGCATAATAGAGCTTCCATTCTAATGGATAAAATCTTTGGTCATAAAATCAAAGTGGTAAGCCAATGGCTGGAGGTAGAGGGGAATGGGGAATGATTACTTTAAGGTTACTAGGTGTTCTTCTGGGGTGATGAGAAAGTTTTGAAACTAGCGTGAGGTGTGGTGGTTGCATAACATCGTGAATACACTAAATGCCACTCAACTGTACACTTTAAAATGGTTAATTGTATGTTATGTGAATTTCACCTTAATTTTAAAAAAAATCAAAGGGGTGGGGTGTCCACTAGCACAACTTTACAAGAATTAGAAAAAAGCATCACCTTTGGATGGATACAGCCCAAGAAATACACAGCTTGTTGAGCCTACAGCTCTTTGTGTGAAGGATAAGGTTCTCCTTCCTTTGAGTGCACAGAGCCCCCCATCAGGGCACAGCTTACACATTTGCACACAACACCTCTAAAACGTGGCCAACACTATTCCCCTCATATACCACTCTCTTGTCTCCCACCAGGTTGGGAAGATTTAGGTTGGATGCATATCTTACTTAGAAGGGCCTCAGCTCAGAAGCACCAAACAGACCCAGGCTGGCATTCCGGAAAGAAGAGAAAGATCTTGTTACTTGGTTTAGGATGTTGGGAGTGTTCGTTCACTTGGTGCATCAACCATGTCTTATTTCTCAGGAATCTAAGTAAGGCAGATGCAACTGATTTTGAGAACTGGTAAAATGGAGTTTAAGGAATTGGAAGAACCCCCAAAACTTATAACTGGAAAAATGAAACCCTGACATCTTAGAGAAAAATAACTCAATACATTAGTATCTATAAACAGAAGGCAAAAATTCAAGAATAACAGACAAACACGTCCTCTCTTCTTGTGGTGCTGGAATGGTCTGGGCCCCTAACTTAAATGAAGTAATGAAAACCAAAAAGAATTGGCACCATAAAAAAAAAAAAAAAGCTTTAAATGTAAAGGTACTGGCATTTTTTTTCCTAAAGAAGATCATGGATAGGGGTATCTAGCATTTAAACAGGATAGAAAATCTACAGGGGGAAAGTTCACAAATGATTATAACTTCTTACTCTGTTTGTATGAGAACCAATCAAGAAGAAGTGGATTTAAGTGGTAGTAGGAAAGAACTTTATTTTCTTGATTTATTTAGAGGAGGTAAAGGAACGTTCAGATTAGTCTTCATTCTGTAGCACAGGACTGGAATTCTCCAATTTTAAGCATCATACCTTATGTGATGATTAATTTTATGTATCAACTTGACTGGGCTGAGGGATGCTCAGATAGCTGGTAAAACATTATTTCTGGGTGTGTCTGTGAGGGTGCTTCCAGAAGAGACTAGCATTTGAAGCTGTGGGTTGTTTAAAGAAGATGAATCACCCTCGTCAATGCAAGTGGGCGTCAATCAATCCACTGAGGGCCTGAGGAAAACAAAAAAGGTGGAGGAAGGGCGAATGTGCTCCCTTGCTCGAGCTGGCACATCCGTCTTCTCCTGCCCTTAGAATTCAGTGCTCCTGGTGGGACTTCTCAGCCTCCATAACTGCGTGATCCGATCTATCATAATAAATCTATCTATCATCTATCTATCCATCCTATTGGTTCTGCTTCTCTGGAGAACCCCGACTAAAATAGTTTATTCTCAATAATTCTCTAAGGGCAACTAAAGACCAGAAATATGAGAAATGAGTTAAATTTTGCCCTGAAGGAGATGTTGAAACAATGCCACGGTAGAAAAGCACAGAAATGGAAATCTGATATGCGACGCTACTATCTCCGGTGCCCTTATCAATGTGTACTTCAACTGCTCAAACATATGAACTTTTCGCAAGGGAGATAAATCTTTTTTGTACCAAAGGTTCTGCTGAATTTATATATGAATTTAGATACCTCCTGAGATTGTAGTAATGACAAATCCACGTATTTCGAACATCCAAGGTGGAAAAATTAGCTAATCAAAGATTTGCTTAAGGAGAAGAAGCAAAAAATTCACAAAGAGCCATACCTTTTAATTCACATTTGATGTGGGATTTGAAAATGTCTTGATTCTGACTTGGGAAGAGTTATGATCTAAACTCAAAGCTATTATTTCTGGAGAAGCAGAACTAACACTTGGTTCTGGTTCAAACCCCATGAGCAGCATTTTAACTTCCATTTGCCTGTAATAGAGTCCATGCTCCATGGAGACCAGGTCGCCTCTCACTGCACCTAAACAAAAGCTTCACCATCACCCTCATCAATTGGCTCATTCGAATTACATAAATTTTCCAGCTAATCGGATGAGTTTGTAACATCTATAGTAAACTGCATACTGCAGATCTAACATACTACAGTATGCCATATACTCCAGTATTAATATATCAAGAATATGATTTTTATGCAGTTAAGAACATTTATTCTCATCACAGGATAAAAAATTTTGTAACTATGTGTGGTGATGAATGTTAACTAAACTTACTGTGGTGATCATTTCACAGTATATACATATATCATATCATTATGTTGTACACCTAAAACTAATACAATGTTATATGTCAATTATATCTCAATTAAAAAAATTAAATCTATAGAATATCCTAAAATCAAAGATTAGAAGAAGTCACAAGTCTTGTGGGTTAACTTTTTTGGCACTTGAGATTTTCTTGAAGTATGCTTATTATACAGTTTAAAAAATAAAATCTCTAGAGAAATCTCTAATAACCAGTGCTATTACTCACCCTCAGCTCTGCTTTTCTTCCCTTTACTCTCAAAAATGTATGAAAGAAGTAGGCAAATTTTCCCATCTGGCTTTCACCTTTCAATTTTCCCTAGAACAACTGCTTATGTGGAAAGGAGGGAATTGACTACAGCGGTTAAGAGTTTAGTGTGGAGTCAGATGGCATGGGTTCAAATTTCAGATGCAGCACTTCTCAGTGTGAACTCGGACAAATGACTTAAATCTGTTTGTGGCTCAGTTTCCTCACATGAATGATGGGACTAGCAATGATATCTACCCCACAGGATTGCCGTGAAAACTAAATGAATTGGTACAAGCAAAGTACTCAGAACCATTTGGGTACATAATAAACACTCCAAAAATGTTATCAGTGACAATTCATCCACATTTCCCAGCCCCAAAGAAAGCATCCCTTTCTGGCCAGCTGAATCACTTTGCTTCACGGGCAAAGTGAGGATGGGAAAGGTAGAGAAGGGGCAGCAGTCAACATTGGAGGCCACGTGGCTGAGAATTAAACTGTCATGTGAGACCCAAGACCTCAATTATCAGGGTCAACATTGAGTAATATTGACACTCCCTAAAGGTGAGGCAGCAGTCAATTATTCTTTGGACAATGAGCAAATTTTAACAAATACGGGGAGTTAGGGGTTATGCACCCGATGAACGCTCATGACTACTTGACCCTGGTAAAGAATCTTAATTAAAGACCAAATTAAATCAACTTTCAAAGCCTTTCAGAAGGTTGAACAAATAACTTAATTTGTTAAGGGCAATTATCTTTCAGAGACAAGTTATTTTAAACACAAACAAGGAAGAGATTTGGGGAATTATGTAAATAATAGCTGCCCAAGGCTTATAAAAGGCCCAGTGTGGGGATCACTGTCAAAACTCAAAACTTCTCAAAGCAACCCAACTCTCAACCCAACTCCTGACACCATGGCCTGCTGCTCCACCAGCTTCTGCGGACTCCCCAGCTTTACCCTCAGTGGGACCTGCGACTCCAGCTGCTGCCGGCCAAGCTCCTGCCAGACCAGCTGCTGCCAGCCAACCTCCTGCCAGACCAGCTGCTGCCAGCCAAGCTCCTGCCAGACCAGCTGCTGCCAGCCAAGCTTCTGCCAGACCAGCTGTGGCATCGGTGGTGGCGTCGGTGGTGGCGTTGGTGGTGGCATTGGTGGTGGCCAGGAGGGTGGCTCCGGAGCTGTGAGCTACCGCACCAGGTGGTGCCGCCCTGACTGCCGAGTGGAGGGCACCTCCCTGCCCCCCTGCTGTGTGGTGAGCTGCACCCCCCCATCCTGCTGTGAGCTGCACCAGGCCCAGGCCTCCTGTTGCCGCCCATCCTACTGTGGACAGTCCTGCTGCCGCCCAGCCTGCTGCTGCCAGCCCACCTGCTGTGAGCCTAGCTGCTGTGAGCCCACTTGCTAAAAGCCAGGTTACTGATTTTCAACTTCCAACTCGATTCATGAACTAAGTATCTCTTCATCCACTACTGGACCATTAACAAGTTCTTGAACTTTTATTTGGCTTTTGTTGTGGGAGTTACCAAATATTTGGGCCCCACAGACCTATCTGATTCCATTCAATACTGGAAAGACACTGATCTCCCCACTGAGGCTGCCAAAACACAAATTTGACTCAAAAAATGGGAAAACCAATTTGCCTTGGGGCTGACCTTCGGCAAATATTTGATCCTACTCTCCTTGGCTCAGTGCTGTCAAGGTCATGGAAAAACCGCCTGTCCTTCTCAGATACATTCACCTGCTATACTCCACTATCCTGCAAATTGCACTTCCTGTGAAAGGGAAATAATATACTAAGGTCTAATAAATTATATCTATTTGATGCAGCAAACATATCTCTTTTTCTTCATTGAGTGTGCTCATGATGTATGTTTCATAGAAAATCATACAAAAGATTTTATTCTGGTTTTGATATCCCACATTGCTCTTCTCATACCATATTAGGAAATTTGATCAGATCCAGTGGAAGTTAATCCCCATAAAATGATACAGCAAAGGCGGCTACGTAGGGCCGCAGAAATGGCACAGGCTCTATTACCGTAACCTGACCTCACACAGTGCTTTCACAACCAGAAAGTTAAAGTCAGGACCTCTGAATCTAGAGCCAGAATAGGACCTATTTTTTCATATCTGTTAAAGGAATGCTCTTATAGGCAACCTTCAAACAATAGTAATGTATGCTAATAAACCACACTCTTCTATTTACCTATAGTCTTGCAGAGTAAAGCAAGAGAACTATAAGTTAGAGAAGCCTCTCTGAGGAAATATGCTTTCAATTAGCTGGAGATTTTTACTTCCAAAACTTTATTTCCAAGTTTCTAAACTGAAAGTGAGAATAATAAAGATTTTGCTCTAATTTTAGAGTCAACATATCTACTTTGGTTTAAAATTTTCACTTAACTGAAATATACATTTATTTATTATACATATACATGCATTTATATATAATACACATATAAAGTGAATTTATACACATTTAAACACAAGTATCAGGGAATGCTTAATAAATTTGGGTGGTTTTTTTGGACAAGGATCAGGATTAATTCATTAGAATTAGAACTGGAGGGGACTGAAAGTATTCCTTTTTATTATGAATATTACTTTGGTTAAAATGGCAATGCCTTATTCATTCAAGGATTCACAAAAATCAAGAAATTAGAAAGGGTGAATAAAGGATAACATGTAAGCAAAGAATCAGTTTCCCTGACATATCATCCAGAGATCTGATTCAATCCAGAAAACACCTTTGAACAACAGAACAGAAATGGAGACACATTTTGTCCTCTTTCCCCTTTGATTTTAACTACTGACCACTTAGGTAGCTATCACTACCTAACAGCTCCTGCTGAGAAAAAAATATATAATAAAACAAAAAATATAAAATAAAAGTGACTTTTGTAAAAGCAAATTTGGCTGTTTATCATTACCGTACACTGCTAATCATTCATTCCCTCTTTTATTCAACAAGCATTTACTGAGCATCTACATGCAAGATGGTCCAAAAGGTACTATGTAGGATACCAAAGTGAATCAGACATGAGCAGATCACGCCCTTAAAGAATGAATGGTCTGGTAGAGCAATTACACAATTTTAGCCCTGAGGTGTCTGAGGTGTTTTAGCCCTGTCATTTTACAGATGAATAAACCAATGTTCAGAGGGATTAAGTGACTTGTCTGAGATTCACAGTCACTTAATGGTAGAACCAAGTTGAGAAGCCTATTTAGTATAAATAACTTAATTTAATTCTTAGTTAAGAGCTCAGTCCCCTACATCATGTGACCATCTCTAATCACCTAAATATGATCCATTTAAAGTCTCCTTCAGCTTAAAATTCTATGATTTTTTTAAATTAAAAATGAAAAACTAAAAATGATTGAGGATTTATCAATAGGGGGATGATTGAATAGAGTGTGGTATGGTCAAATTCTGGAATATTGCATGGCTATTTAAAAGAATGAGTAATATGTATAGGCTAGGCCAACAAAGTGGATAACCTAGATGAAATGGATAAATTCCTAGAAACACACAACATATAAAAACTGAATCATGAAGAAATAGAAAATCTAAACAGATCTATAACTAATAAGGAGATTGTATCAGTAATAAAAAAAACCTCCCAACAGAGAATGTGCCAGTATTAGAAGGCCTGACTGGTCAATTCTACCAAACATCTAAAGAAAAATTAACACCAATCCCAATCCTCCTCAAGGTCTTCCAAAAAACTGAAGATTAGGAAACACTTCAAACTCATTCTATGAGGTCATCATTATCTTGGTACCAAAGCCAAGCAAAGACGCTACAAGAAAAGAAAATTATAAACCAATATCCCTAATAAATATTGATGCAAAATTCCTCAAAAGAATACTATTAAACAGAATTCAAAAGCACATTAAAAGGATTATACACCATGACCAAGTGGGATTTTATCCTAGCATGCAAGGATGGCTCAACATATGAAAATCAATCAATGTATTACATCACATAGCAGAATGAAGGGAGGGAAAACACATGGTTATTTCAATAGATAAATAAAAAGCATTTGATGAAATTCAACTCTCTTTTATGATTAAAAAAAATAAAACACTCAACAAAAAAGGAATAAAAGGAAATTACCTCAGCATAATAAAAGCCATATTTGAAACGCCCACACTATCATCATACTCAGTGGTGAAAGACTGAAAGCTTTTCCTCTAAGATCAGGAACAAGACAAGGATACCCACTTTCATCTGTTCTATTTATGATAGTACTGGAAGTCCTAGCCAGAGCAATTAGACAAGAAAAAGAAATAAAAGGCAACCAAATCAGAAAGAAAGAAGTAAAATTGTCTCTGTTTGCAGATGACATGATATTATATATAGAAAACCCTAAACACTCCATCAAAAAAACTGTTAGAACAATTCAACAAATTCAGTACACTTGTAGGATATAAAATCAATGTAAAAAACCAGTTGCATTTCTATATACTAACAACCACCTACCAGAAAGAGAAATTAAGAAAACAATCCCATTTCTGATAGTATCAAAAAGAATAAAATACTTAAGAATAAATTTAACCAAGAAGGTGAAAGATCTGTACACTGAAAATCATAAGACGTTGATGAAAGAAACCGAAGAAGACACAAATAAATGGAAAGGTAGTCCATGCTCACGGATTAGAAGAATTAATATTGTTAAAATGTCAATACCACCCAAAGTAATCTACAGATTCAATGCAATCCCTATCTAAATTCCAATGGCATTTTTCACAGAAATAGAAAAAAAATCCTAAAATTTGTATGGGATGACAAAAGACTCTAAATAGCCAAAGCAAGAAGAACAAAGCTGGAAGCATCATGCTTGTTGATCTCAAGCTTTATTACAAAGCTATAGTTACCAAAACAGTATGTTACTGACATAAAGGCAGAAATATAGACAAACAGAATAGAATAGAGAGCCCAGAAATAAACTCTCACACATACAGTCAAATGATTTTCAACAAGGGTGCCAAGACCATTCAATGAGAAATGACAGTCTTTTCAACAAATGGTGTTCGGAAAACTGGATATCCACATGCAAAAGAATGAAGTTGGACCCTTACCTTACACCATATACAAAAATTAACTCAAAATTGATCAAAGATCTAAATATAAGAGCTAAAACTATAAAACTCTTAGAAGAAAACATAAAGGAAAAGCTCCATGACACTGGATTTGGCAATGATTTTTTGGATATGACACAAAAGCATAGGCAACAAAAGTGAAAAATAGATAAATTAAACTACAGCAAAATTAAAAACTTTCATGCATCAAAGGACACAATTAACAAAAAGAAAAGGCAATCTACAGAATGGGAGAAAACATTTACAAATCATACATCCAGTAAGAGGTTAATATCCAGAATATATAAAGAACTCCTAAGCTGAACAACAATAACAACAACAAAACAATTAAAAATTGGGCAGAGGACTTAAGTGGACCTTTCTCCAAAGAAGATATACAAGTGGCCAACAAGCACGTGAAAAGATGCTCAATATCACTAATCATTACAAAAATTTAAATCAAAACCACAATGTCAGACCACCTCACACACATTAGAATGGCTACTCTCAAAAACACAAAAAGCATTGGCAAGGACACGGAGAAATTAGAACCTTTGTGCACTGTTAGTGGGAATGTAAAATGGTACAGCTGCTATGGGAAACAGTATGGCAGTTACTCAAAAAAGTAAAAATAGAATTACTGTATGATCCAGTAATTCTACTTCTAGGCGTATACACAAAAGAATTGAAAGCACATTCTTGAAGAGATATTTGTACACCTGTGTTCATGGTAGCTGTTGGAGGAGGTAATCGAGAGGGTGTGACCACCAGTTGACCCAAGAGATGCATCTGGGCAATTGGAGGGTTCTCACTCCTTCCCCTGTCCTTGGAATATACACTCTGCCTACCATTCCCACAATGTGAGCCATTTCAAGGTTGCAGCCTTGAGAACAGAATGTGTTGTTAAAACCATCTGGACACTATATATGACTAAACCTAGCGAAGGCCTCTATATAAACTTTTAAGATTTGGTGGAGGGGTGCAGAGATCTACTCGTCTTGCAGCTGTCCAAGACAAGCTTCGTAAGTAAGTTCGCTTGCTTATTAAACTTGCCACCTACCAATCTGGAATGGTCTGCCTCTTTCTTCAGTCTCTCCTTGCCCTCTGTGTGTGGGGGCCAGTTTGCAAACTGACAGCAGCATTAATCATAATAGTCAAAAGGTGGAAGCAATCCAAGTGTCCATCAATGGATGAATGGATAAACAAATTGTAGTGTATTCACACACTACATGTGTATGTTATTATTATTCAGCCTTAAAAAGGCTGAATATTATTCAGCCTTAAAAAGGAAGGAAATTCTGACAGATTCTACAACATGTGTTAATCTTGAGGATATTATGCTAAGTGAAATAAGCGAGTGACAAAAAGATGTATACCATATGATTCCACTTATATGAGGTACGTAGAGTGGTCTAATTCATCAAGACGCAGAGTAGAATGGTGGTTGCCAAGGGCTTGGGGAGGAGAGAATGGGAAAGTTGTTGTTTAATGGACATATAGTTTCAGTTTTGCAAGATTAAAAGAGTTCTGGAGATCAATTGCACAAGTGGATGTACTTAAAGTGGATGTAGTGAACTGTACTCTTAAAAATGGTTAAGATGGTAAATTATATGTATTTTACTAGAATTTAATTTTTAAAAAAACATATATCTATAGGAAACCCAACTTTACTGAAGTAGAAGACATATATGTATATACGCTGGTTAGTGTTTGTGAAAACAAGAAGAAAAGTGTCGAAGAATATGCACTAGACTGGTAATATTGATTATCTCTGGATTACCAGTTTTGGAAGGGATATGTGTGTTTTGGGGAAGTAAGGAAAAATATTTACTTTTCTTTATATGCCTGTGTACTGTTTGACTTGCTAAAATGAGTATTCATTGCTAGCACATATTTAGTAGGAAATAATATTAGCAAAAGACATTGAGGGTTTCAGTGGAGAATATGCGCCTTGATGATTGAAGGTGAAAATGCTCATTAGAGCTCTAAGGATACTATACCTTGCAAAAATTCATCATAGAAAGACATACTCTTTTGAATGGTGATGTTGAGGTTATAGCTCATGTTTTGATGACATTAATGTTAGTCATTCCGAGTCTCGACAAATTGCCTATGAAATCATGATCCTTAATTGAGTGACCACCTAGGAAGAAAATGTCCAGTTTAGATAAACTAAAGGTTATCAAAGAACAGGTATGACAAAGCAAGCCTGGGCAACGGTTGGCCCAAGTCTAGTCTGTCATGTGACTTGCATAAAGAGGTGCTACCGTGATTGGCTTCCATAATGAGCCTTCACTTGCTCCAGAGGGCAAAGAAGAAACATAATGAGACTTAATTGAGCAATGACAAAGCAGACTATTGAAATGCTATTTATAACTTTCTAAACAACTCAGGTATTAGCCAATCAGAGACTGACTTTGCAAATAGTATCAAGCAAAGACGCTAAATGTTAGGGAAGTACGCAGCTCTAGGGAATGTATAAAAGGCCAGATGTAGAAAGGGCAGCCCAAACTCAGAAACTTCTCAAAGCAACCCAACTCTCAACCCAACTCCTGACACCATGGCCTGCTGCTCCACCAGCTTCTGTGGATTTCCCTCCTTCACCATGAGCAGGACCTGCGACTCCAGCTGCTGCCAGCCAAGCTGCTGCCAGCCAAGCTCCTGCCAGACCAGCTGTGGCATCAGTGGTGGCGTTGGTGGTGGCATTGGTGGTGGCCAGGAGGGTGGTTACGGAGCTGTGAGCTACCGCACCAGGTGGTGCCGCCCTGACTGCCGAGTGGAGGGCACCTCCCTGCCCCCCTGCTGTGTGGTGAGCTGCACCCCCCCATCCTGCTGTGAGCTGCACCAGGCCCAGGTCTCCTGTTGCCGCCCATCCTACTGTGGACAGTCCTGCTGCCGCCCAGCCTGCTGCTGCCAGCCCACCTGCTGCCAGCCCACCTGTTAAAAGCAAGGTTGCTGATTACTTAAGAATGAAAGGGGAAGCACAGCAAAACTGCACTGATCTCTAAAGAAATGTTCAATTTTACTTGGATGCTAAGATCACGATGTTTCTAAGCTGCTCAGAAATAACAAAAGTATTCGTCAGGACCCTCTTGGACATGCTGAATTAGCCCATTGAAAACATATATCAGTCAGAGGGTCTGCAATATCCTGCCTTGCTTGAGCAGGGTACAAGGGTGGGATAGTTCTTCGTTTCAGTCACATCTCTGTTCTCCTCCCTATCTCTTGATCTCCATGTATTTTCAGCCCTGCTTTCTCCTTGAATATCCCCTGTTAATTTCAAATAAAATGTTTAAATGTTCAAAGCAAACTGAGTTATTTTCTTCCTTCTACCCTTAAGCTTGTCCACCTTTAGCTAGAATTCAAGAAGAGTGGATTTGTATTTTGATAATAATCCTAAGGCATAAACATAAAGTCTAAAACAGAAAGATTAAATACAAATTACAGTATGCTTGAATCCATCAATTAATAAAATGTCCCATGCATTAAATGATCTTTATAGTTATTCAAATACTTACATGCTCTAACCTGTTACGATTAGGTCTAGACCAACGAAGCCACTTTTAGCTAAAAATTTCAGGTTGATCAAGGCTATGGGATTTCTACCCAATGTACTTCTACTATTAATCTCCTTCCATTTAATATACTAGATGTTCTCCCTCATGCTTGGCCACTATCTAAAGAAACTGTATAACCTACTGAATAGATTTTAAAATATCTACCAGATAGTCTCTCTCAGATATTATCTACTTTCCAAGAGCATTTAGATTTAATTTCTATGCCTTAGTCTGTTATATTCTTCCCACTGATCCCCAAAATGCTCTCTAAGCTTCAACTCCCAACACTCACCTCTATTTACTGTAAGTATGTGTAAGGTGTGTCTCTGGTCTACTATGGATGCCCAGTGAGGCCTACCATCACAATTTGTCAGACACATGCATTAGAAATCTGAAACAACTATCTATTTTGCACTTTGCAACCCAATTTGAAGGATGTTCTCTTAAGAAGTTAACACAAATCTAGAACAAAAAATACCTTTTACCATTTAATTTTTCAATTCTTCATTAAGCATTTGAGCACAATGTACAATATGCAACAGGACAAAATACGGGACACTTAAAGAAAAATATTTCCCGAGTTATTTACAAGCTCCCAGCACTTACCCATATCATTTCATTGGTAGCAATGATAGATCACACACAAGATTTCACATTTCAGAGGCAAATAAAATAGATGGCAGTGCAGTCTTCAAAGTGTCATAACTCCCAGATGCTTTTTCCTGAGCCTTGGTTCAACTATTAAGCGTAGAAGAAAAATTTCAGCGTTTCCTCGCCTCTTTTGACAATAACAAGGACTCCTTCAAGAGAGGCACTACAGCTTGAAAATTCTATTTAATAATCATTTATAAGTGGTACAGCCATCCATGAATCATGTCTTTTACTCCACCCATTCAAAATCAGATTCAATAAACATTTATTAGGGTTCTCCCAGGAGCTAAGCACTCTGCTAGATGCCTGAATATATACTGTGTCAGTTGGTTCAAAAGAAAAGATTTCTGGCCTGGAACACGAATAATATTTACACATTTCAAATTGGTTGAAATCAAAGGAACTATAGTGGTAATTTGATTTGCTGTTGGAGTAGATGAGTTGAAAGCTTTTAATTATGTCTGACCAAAGGCGCTCTTTCCATTCAGTGGAAATGTCCTGATGTCTAAATTCAAGAGAACGCAGTCTGAATATCCAGAAGAAAAAATAATGGTTAAAAATAGGAGCACAATTACTCTCAGCCTTAGAGATCTTGACAGAGTGTCACATGGAACAACCTCCTCACAAAACGAGGGTGCTGACGTGGACTAAAATGGGAGGACTCTTTGAACCTGGGAAACCACAGATGTATTCCAAAGAGCAAAGGACCCATATGAGGAATCCCAATGCAATTATAAAACGACGTAATCTCCACACTGCTGCTCATAATGTGTCATAAGTATTTCAATGTAAGCCAATCAGAGGACCACTGAGGAACAAATTTAAATAAAAACAAGGAAAATCTGTTAAGAATTTTATAAATAGCAGCTGGCCCACCTATATAAAGGGCTGGACATAGAATCATCACCAAAACTCCAACCCAACACAAGTCTCAACCCAGCTCCCGACACCATGGCCTGCTGCTCCACCAGCTCCTGTGGATTTCCTAGCTGCTTCACCAGTGGGACCTGTGACTCCAGCTGCTGCCAGCCAAGCTCCTGCCAGACCAGCTATGGCATTGGTGGTGGCATTGGTGGTGGCCAGGAGGGTGGTTACGGAGCGGTGAGCTACTGCACCAGGTGGTGCCGCCCTGACTGCCGAGTGGAGGGCACCTCCCTGTCCCCCTGCTGTGTGGTGAGCTGCACCCCCCCATCCTGCTGTGAGCTGCACCAGGCCCAGGCCTCCTGTTGCCGCCCATCCTACTGTGGACAGTCCTGCTGCCACCCAGCCTGCTGCTGCCAGCCCACCTGCTGTGAGCCCACCTGCTACAAGCTAGGCTGCTGATTTTCAATTGCCCAAGCCACGGTATCTCTGAACAGTTTATCTCCTCAACCACCCCTGGACCACCAACTTCTTAGATTTCCATTTGGGTTTTTGTTATGGGGCTACCAAGTATATATGAGTTCTGCCTGATTCCATTCTACAGTGAACACCTTGACTCTCCACTGAGAACACAGACATGCCGGAACCCACCTGCTGATCATAAACTTGCTTTGGATATACTACTTCTGATTTTCCTGCATGATTGAAAATTACTGACATATTTTGGTATTTACCCTTGAGAACTGTCCACAAGTCTAATTTTTCCCTGCTTTATGGTCTATTTTTAGCTTCTGTTTACCTAAAAATTTTTCCAACGGCAAAGGCACCAGAGTATAGCAAAGTGACATTCCTCAAATGTCACTAGAGAAAATTGAAGCTCTTCATCCAACATTCAGCTTCTAAGAAGTAGGCTCGACTTTTCTATATTTCAACATCTGATTCCATCCCCTTCTTTTTAATAAGATAATGATCTTGCCTGTTGGCTATTTCAATTATATCTGTGATACAGTGTCTTCTGTCATTTCTTAATAAATGTTATATACTGGGCAAAAAAATCATGGTCTGTGTTTCCACTTGTACATAAAATGGGTTAATGGCTTATAATTCAAGAATGCTTACTTGAAAGAAATACATGCGTTTCTTTTTAAAAGAGACTGAAGTCATATGTAGTGTATTCATTCATTCATTTATTCAATAAAAATTCACAGACACCACGTCTAAAGCAGGAACTATGGAGATCAGAAAGATGAAGAATTAATTCTTATCTTTGACGACCTTACGATCCAGAAAGAAAAAAGTGTATGTGTGAAAATAGCTGCATACAATGTGATGAGATAAACTGTATTCTCTTAGCAGTTGGTAGAAGAAACTATGCTCTATCTTAGGCATGATGCTTTCATGGCCACTATGCCTTGATAGCCCAAATTATAATAAGTGCATTCACATGGGACATACATGTTGGTAACCCCAAGAGCCTAAGAGAAAGATGTGAAACAATTACACAATTACACAAAGAGAAGAATATGTTGTACTTCAGAAATGGAGTGAGGAGAAAAAAGAAGAGAGGAGAGATCTAGTCAGGAGGTCATGAATATTACTCTATGATCCTTCCCCTTTAAGTTACCAAACTCACACAATCCTTGGGGTAGGTCAACTTTCCTTTGAAAACCAGTGAAAGTGCTGAGTTTCACGTCTGGGTTGGTTCAAGGGAAGATGGAGACAGCCCAGGAGCAAGGCAGAGCAGGGGGAACCACAAGAAAGTAACGCCTCAGGAACTCTCAGAAATTGTGGAGAAGCTCCGGATGGCCACTGCTGTGGAAAGTAATATCTTGGTTATGTGGACTGCAAAGAAGAAGACAGATGGGCCAGTAACAGAATTTCACAGAGGAAGTAATCACTTAGGGGCCAGAAGGGGCTATGCTGGGGCCAGCATCAGGGAGGACTTCGCAAGGGAGGTTATCTTTGAAGTGGGCCTTGAAGGTCATTGTAAATGGAAAGAGAAGAGTGAGTGAAAAACAACCCAACCTGCAAGCCTACTAGAATGGCTAAAATCCAAAGCAATGACAACACAAAACGCTGGTGAATGTTGGTGGAGCAACAGGAACTCTCACTCATTTCTGGTGGAAAAGCAAAACGGTACAGCCACTTTGGAAGACAGTTGAGCCATTTCTTATAAAGCTACACACAGTCTTACCATACAACCCAGTAATTTACCCAAATAAGCTGAAAGCTTATGTCCACACAAAAACCTGCATGTGAATGTTTATAGCAGCTTTCTTTGTAATTGCCAAAAATTGGTAGCAACCAAGATGTCCTTCAATAGGCGAATGGATAAACAAACTGTATTACATCTGTACAATGGAATACTATTCTGTGAAAAAGAAATGATTTATCAAGCCACAGAAAGACATAGAAGAATCTTAAATGCATATTGCTCAAAGAAAGAAGCCAATCTGAAAAGGCTGCACACTATCTGATTCCAACCATATGACATTCTGAAAAAGGCAAAAGTACGGAGACAGTACAAAGTTGCCAAAGTGTCCACCCTACTATGACCTGCAGAAGCCTGTAGTCCAACATTAAGACACAAGTTGATGAGTTAAAAAAAAAAAAAACAAAGTTACAGAAATAGAGAGACACAGGACAGGCTGATGAAATCTAAACAGAAGCCAGCTATATGCTTCTGAGAAAGCATTCCTTTGTTGATAAAAATGACACACATTGCTGGTGCTCCCACTTCCTCTTCACTCTGACTCTTCTTCTTACTTTCAACACACTAGGATTCCCGGAGCTACAAAATCCCAAGAGAGTGGAAGAGACACTGATCCTGACATAGTGGAGCCTCTGAACCAATGTTAGAAGCGGCCTTCCTGTGAGAAGAATAAGTCCTTTGATCAAGCCAATATTTATTGACTTTTCCAAAACTGGAAACCTAGACATTCTTAACTGCTACACTATGCAATAGACTCCAATAAGGTCTCAAAATAGCAACTTCCTATACATCTCACCTAAGAGGATTTGAGATGCATAAACAGTTCAGTGATGGCAAAAGGACATCAGTTACAAATTCTAAAGCAAAAGTCCTTTTTTAATTGAGGTTCATTGACCATATTATGAGTAGATGGATAACAAAATGGATAGGAGAAAATATGGGGGGGGGCATTAAGATAATAAAGGATGAAGAAAAGAATGAAAAGGAAGAGAAAAGAACAAAATAGAGAAGAAAAGACAGAAAGAAGACACAATGAAAATGACAGGGGACAACAAGCAGAAAAGACAAGGAGGAAGAATGATGGGGAAGACACACATGAAGGAGAAAGACAGGAACCAAAGTGACCTGGTTTAGTGCCATATGTTATGCCACATGCTCAATATGCCTCATGTGAACTTTATTTCATTTAACAGTTAACATCAATCCCGTGAAATAGATATTGTTATCCTGGCTTGTAGATAAGGAAAGTAAGTCTAAATGAAGCTAAACAGCTTGCTTAAGCCACATATTCTCATAAAAAATAAAATAAAATCTGAACCCAATTCTGTCTAACTCCAAAACTCATAGAGAATGAATTAAGGAACTAGATATAAAGAAAAGTGTGGTGAGGTTCAGGAGATTTAACAATGGCTATTTTATTTTATTTATTTATTTTTTTTATTTTTTGTTTATTGCAGTAACATTGGTTTATAACATTGTAAAAATTTCAGGTGTACATCATTATACTTCTATTTCTGCATAGATTACATCATGTTCACC